TTGCGCAATTTGCTTGTTTTGACGTCGGGGACGATTCCACGCTTCTGACACTCAGTATTACATGCGTTCGGAAGATTGGTCGGAAAATACATGACAGTGTTCGCTAGTTATAGTTAAACGTGGCCACCTCTTTGTCATATTTATAGCAGCCATGTTCAACTGGCTGCCATCAAGCACACTCTGAATTCGTAAGCTGCTGCTACTAGTGACTTGAAACTAGACACTCATCAAAAATAGTGCTGCTGTTCAAGCTCTGGGATTACAACTTAAAAAAAAAAAACTTTCAGCAGAATATTTTTTGCGCAATTCACTTATTTTTACGTTGGGTGCGATTCTTCGCTTCTGCCACGCTGTATTACGTGCATCAAGCCGGATCCTCAGAATGCATGACGTACATACATATTGTTACGGGGAAGATTTATTCACAGAGAGCTGGTCTTGCTAACGGCTTAAAGAGCGCACAGTCATGCAGGCCAACGGGAGAAGCTCGAGAGTCCAACCCACAACAACAACGTTGTCGTCTTCTTCATTTGGGTGCCAATTGAGCTGTGTCGGGGCGACAGTTACATACACGTATAATCATGTAGTGGTTTTTCTACTGCGGTTTCAAGCAATAGTGTCGCTTTGTGGTATAGAACACCTGTTTGTCACGCGGACAGTCTGGGTTGGATTCCTACTCGAGGCAGGCCCGTAGCCAGAAACTTTTTTTCAGTGGTAGGGGAGGTGGGGGGTTCGGCACTTGTTGAAAATCGTGAATAACACATATATACTTTTTATTTTTAATGTCGTTAAAACAACCCCCTGTATCCGAAGTTCATGGAGAGGGGGGGGGGGGAGGTGCCGGCTACTATAGGACCGTCCTTGGCTGTGGGCCTGACTCGAGTTGAAGTTTTTTTTTTTCATTTTATTTGCTTCTTTCTCGCTCTGATGATTTTTTGTTTCCAATCAACGACGCCGACACCGAGGCCGACATCGGAATTTGAGCGCGACGAGCTCTTTGACGCTGTCGCGTTAAGCTTATTTCAAAGGTACTATTTTGCTCCACGAGAAGATCAGGGTTCGAGACACAACTCACGACTGCACAATACGAAATCGCAAGCTTGAACGCTATGTGCAGCAATTCCAATAAGTCCAATGAAGTCAACGCAACAAAGAAAGAAGAAAAAGCAACTCGCAGAAATATCATCACAATATGTGATACACCCCTTGTCTTGCGTTTTGCATTTGAAAAGTTGCCACTCACACGTTCTTTATACCGGAATAAGTGTAAGCAAAAAACATAAAAATTGTATTACTTTCAAATTAAAACAGAAATGCGTAATGCTGAATATTCATTTCATTGCAAAAACGCATTACTCTGCGTATAGCTTGCATTTATGGTGCGTACTATCGTATTAATTCGCATACAAACTGCATACAATGTTTTCGTTTGTTTTTTTCCATACACGACACGCAATCCTTTTTTCTTTTTTTTTTTTTTTGCTCCATGCTCTATGCACAAATTCTTCAGGATTCTCTAAACTGTGCAGTGCACAGAAACTCGCCTGTGTTATACATTGCTCCCGGCTTGCATTTTCCTACTTGTATAACCGTTGCAGATATGATTTTACTTATAAAGAAAGGAGATATTGTCACGAGGTCGTGACGTGAACCAAGGCAGCAGGCTCGATGATCAGAAGAAACTCTTCATACGGGCCCAACTTGCGGCCAACAACTGAAAAGTAAGAATATGGAGCTTTAGAATAGCGCAGCGCGATCCCTTGCGGTGCGGTCGCTGCCACTGCGCATGCGTCGTAACGCGAGTCGGCGTTCGCGTTCGCGGACCGCACGTAAAAAATCCGAAATTGCGTGCGGTGATGGCGGCCCGCATGTGGCCCGCAAGCGCTGGTTTCGAGGCTACGGTGTCGCTGCAATCGTGCGTTGCGGATCGCGGCAGGGCAAACGCAATTCTAAAACTCATATGGCACCCGCTACGCCCGCAAAGCCCGCTACGCCCGCAACGCTTGCAAACGGTATTCTAAAACTCCCTGTTAAAGCGATACACGCTGGCACTCATAGCGGTGAACAGAGCGTCAGGCATCGATAACCTGACAAGTGGCGAGGCGCATCGGCATATATACACTCGCCATCGAATGTTCTAGCGTTATCGCTATCGGTGATTCCAGAATCATCTGTATAGTTCACGGAATGGGCGTGATCTTATCGAAATGATCTGCTACAGTTTCGAAGCTTCTCGAAGACTGCAGGCGCGGTTCGCACTGAGAATACGTAGTGTAACGGGGTGATTACAAAACTTGAGAAAAAGGAACGTGGCAACATTTAGTGAATACAGTGAAGAAGAGGCCAACTTTGGGAGAACGTCTAGCTTTCTACTTTTCATCTGGGTGTACGGTTGAATAGGACAGAGTGGTAGGTGCAGGTGACCATACGATAGTACATGGGTATGCGTGGATGTATGCGTAGATGTATGCGTAGATGTATGCGTAGATGTATGCGTAGATGTATGCGAGGATGTAAGCGTGGATGTATGCTATATGCTATGTGCAGAAGTGTTCGCAAAGCGCATCTTCTAAAAACAAACAAGCCAGTTCGTCTTAGAAAGATCAACAGAAAACTTAAAGTGCGTTTAGTCCACTGCGGTGGAGCAGTGGTTACTGTGCTCGGCGGCTGATCCAAAGGTAGCGGGTTCGATCCCCGCAGAAGTGGTGGCATTTCGATGGGAGTGAAATGTTTGAGAGCCGTGTACCATGCGATGTAAGTTCACATTCAACAACAGCAGATGGTTGAAATTTTTGGAGCCCTCTACTATGGCGTCTCTCGTGATCGTATCTTAGTTTTCAGACGCAATACCTTAGTTATTATTATTATTATTATTATTATTATTATTGTCGTCATCGTCGTGAACGTTGTTGTTGTTGTTGTTGTTGTTGTTGTTGTTGTTGTTGTTGTTGTTGTTGTTGTTGTTGTTGTTGTTGTTGTTGTTGTTGTTGTTGTTGTTGTTGTTGTTGTTGTTGTTGTTGTTGTTGTTGTTGTTGTTGTTGTTGTTCGTTTAGCGTGATCCACACATCTGCACGAGCCGAAAAGTTCCTCCCCCATACAAAAGGCCTGGATGATCAGGCAGTCTATCAAAGGTGTCTGGGCCGAATATTGAGGGCAGACGCAAAGGATGTGATTTGTGTAGACTAACTAAGGAGTCTCACTCAATGTGACTAGGCGTAAAATGCCCTACGATTCTGGTTTCACGATAGCCATGTAATTAGAGGTTACCGCTCGTGATTATTCACACTTTCTGGGTGTTTTCAGCCAGCAGTTATTTTTTTTTTTTAATCCTAGGCAGACCACACGTGCGGTATACGCCCAGAGCAATCGCAAACCACGAAGGAATCCTGTGAACCGCCCCTATGGCTTCAGTGTGTTCCATAGGCTTTCGTCATTAGTTGTTCGTGCTTTTATATCGACATTTTGCTGTACTTTTTCTTTCTTTTCTCATTTGGGCGTCCTGTCGCACTTTGCAGGTTTCAGCGCCCAATCGCTTACAGGCTCGAGCAAAGCTGACGCACAGTCCCCCCAGAGGTCTTCGACACCTGGTACGGCTTTTTCTTCGCTTTACTAGAATCAGTTTCTCTCCTCCTATCTCTCTGCACAATGGCTACGCTTTTCTGCTAGTTTATGCGCCTATTCTGTCTCTTAGATTGTGTGTTTGACGGTATGTCCGTCCCTTTGTCTGGTTAGCCTGTCAGTCTGTTTGTCGGTTGTTCAATGCGTTTGTTTGTTTGTCGGCCCTTGTGTTGATCTAAATGTTTGTCTATTACCTATGCGTTAATCTACGTGTCGGTCTATGTCTGTCCATCTGTGTTTACTTCAGCTTGTACGCCTGTCATTTTTAAATAAGTGATCATGATATGATAGCCACATATAGCCACGTGCAGTCAATACTTGCCACTCACAAAGCCAACTTTTGCCTTTTCTTCTATTTTTTTTTGCTCGAGAGATTTGCTGCCAGGTATATGTATAAAGACCGAATCAAAGAAATGCATGCAAGCACTGACAGCCAGTATCAGTCCCACTAAAATAGAATGCGTGTGAACGCTCGTGTGTCTCAAGGCCTCGGTGATTGGTAGTCACCTGTGCATCGGCTCAACCACTGCGGCCGTTATAACGACAGGAACAACATCCCGCCAGTTGAGAACAACTCCGAAAACCAAAAAAAAAAAAATGCGTTTGATATTCTAGTTTGACTGGCTGAATGACGTCAGCCAGAGATTTTTACTAAGTTTTTAATAGCATAAAAATATAACCAGCTTGGCCCTGTTATTAACCTTACTATTTATGGCATCGGTATTCTGTTCTCTCCTCCCAGAAAGCTTTTCTGTTTTAATGCGATAGCGTTAAAGAGCTCGTTTCCAAGGAGTTCCGGCGTCGGTGTCGTTGGTTGTGAGCGAAAAATCATCATCTTAGGCGTGACCCGAAGATCGAAACGATGCAAAAAAAAATAATTAAAAAAAATTGCGCAGCAGAGTGGGCACCGAACCAGGGTTTTCGGGGTCCAAGTGTGGATAGATCTCGGATCGTTTGCGTGTCAAGCGGATGTTCTACCACATGGCCACGCCTTTGCTTGTGAAAACAGTGAAAAGAACTTCTGCTTGGAAATGCAGGGGAAGTATAGCTTTAATGCTTCCTAAACACACGCGTCATATACATATGATTCACAATGCAACATGAAATATTGCAGCAATAATGCCTGGTACAAGCGTCCATTGCCAACGGGCGTCAGAATATGTCATTATCATCATGACTGCACGTTTGAAAGGTGGTACTCCACTACAAAAGGCACACACGCTACTGCGCCTATTCCATTAAGGCCGCGTAGTGCGTGCATAGCAAATTCGAACAGATTTCAAGCACTAAGTGTTTGAAGTACGCCCTATACGGACAAGATGCTGCCATCACGTTCCACTCATAAAGGTGAAGCTTTAGGGTCCCCTAAGCTTTTGCCGTAAATGTATCGACGTAAGTTAGCGGATGCAATGCGCTTACTTGAAATTCAGGATCTTTCAGAACACAAGTACATGCGATCTGGCACAATTCCACTCCCGTATATACGCATATCTATTTTAAACTGTCACGGAGTGTTTCTTCGCTGTTTCTTGAAAGCGTTGTGTGTATTCATGCAGATAACACTGGGGGAGAAACTGTGTATAAAGAATTGCGAGAACTTTTTTCATACTTAACTTAACCGAGCTTGTGAGAGTAACGCTCCTTTTGCGTGTTTTTTTATCGTTTCAGACTCCTTTCAAATGTTTCGGGCTGCAAGCGCAAGGTTCTCATCACAAGGTATGTGACGTCACCGTATGGCTGATTATTCACTGAGTGAGAGATAGTGTTTAGTTTTACAAACGCCAGATACAAATTTCATTACTTTGAAAGGACAGTGCGAATAACACCGAAAAATAAGAATAAACCCACAACGACATCCTCAACCATGTATTTGCATGTTCTTTCTTATTATTCGGTATTGTTCGCCCTGTGCTCGTGAAGAACTGTGATGAGCTATAGGCCAAACCAAAGGTCAAATCTTGCTACAAATTTTGGTTTTCAGCGTATAATTGTTTTATTTCTTAAAAAACTGAGTAAGTATTTCGCATCATGACAGAACCTTGCCAACGCGTTTAAAGTTCGAATATTTGATGAAAGATTAAAATATTGTTAAAGTTTTCTGTGGTTATAGCCCGAAGGAAGTGTAGTTTTCTTTCAGCTTCACTACAGTCATGCATAAGCTCTCTTCCTCTGTAGTTGATGTTTCCCAGCTGTGCGAAACGGCTTCCGCGCCTTCCGCAAAGCTTTTTTTAGAATCTTTTTTTGTGTGTGTGCTGAATAATGCAGAATCCAGGTTCACTGACACACCACACGTAAGATTCAAAGCTCCGATTTGACCTCCAATGCTTACGCATTGTCCTCAACGACGCTAGCTCTGTCACGTCGGCAGATCCGTTCGCTTTAACCGGGGCTATCTCCCATGCGTGACGATATACCGTTCCAGAGAAAAAAAAGCCACTGATGCTTCGTTATTGGCTTTCGCTTTGCTCCGCGAGCTCAATCGTACTCGAGCGACAAGGTGAATCGGATTTCTCCCAAGCGTAACGCCGAACATGCACACACAACACGTTCCCCGAAAGGCTTGTTGCACGCACACATATACCGGCTGCCACTGCGCTCCACGTGATGCGAGGTCACAAAGCGTTGCTTCTGGATTCCCGTTCTCGTTCCTTCGTCGTGCCGCATCTCGTATTAGTTGAAAAACAGAATGCTTTAAAGCAGAAGCCCGCGGCAGTTATCTGTGACGCGGAGACTCACAATGCAAGCGGACGTCGCCGATCAAAGTCCGCGCGCTCCCCGGAAGTGAAGAACGCGGTGTTTCCTTTACACGAGCGGTCGCAGTTGGCCTTGTGTTTAAAAGGCTCTCGAGAAAGTGCTTTAGGGCTCCGGTTCGCCGTAGCGCGGGCCGTTCCTATCCCCTTTTTCCGGGTGCTCCCTCACATCGTCAAACTTACCCCTCTTGTCCTATACCACCCCTGAACATTATTTATGTGCTTTTTTTTCTTCGTTAGCACTCCCATAAACACACGCGCACCCGAAGCCACTCATCACGCCCTCGGTGACCGCTTGGGCCTCGCCTCGCTCACCCAGCCATATTTACATATCATCGTGGTCCCATTAAGAGCGGCAGCAGCGTGTCCTATACGTCTCCCCCCCAACGCGTATCTGCACTCCCGCCCTGCCGCATATCGCGCTCCACTTTCTCCCCCGCTCCGGCTTTTTATTCCCTTTCAACGCCCTCTCTGTCTTTCATCTGCTCCCCGCTACTGTTTGCGAATGGCTCTCGTAACGTCAACCTGGCGTTGCTTGCTTTATGGACGCCACGGATCGAGTGCGCCATCCCCCGCCAAGCAGCCGGTTGATTTTTCGTGCCGCTCAATCTGGAGCGTTAGTCACGGCTTTGTTGCTGCTCGAGGGGCCGTGGCGCCAAGGGCGGCCGTCCTCCCGGCAACCGCCGTTGTTCCATAGTTTTTTTTTTTATTTATACTGACACCAACTTGCATCCCAGTTTATTCACGCCTCATTGCCTTCCTAAACGATTTACATGCAGTTCCAGCATCGTCAGAGTGACATAGGTGCGATCTGAGGTTCTCGCTGGTTTTGCTACGAACTAATATCTCGCTTGATAGTCACAAATATTTTATTCATGCGTACGGCTGCTGCGTATTCACGTTATATTATCTTCATGCTGCATGCCTGTATGAATGTTTCACGCTATCCGCTAGAGCCTCATGGTATACGTGTCGACAATAGAGAATACGACAATGCATGAAGGACTAACAAGCGGAAGACGATACATTGTCCCCATAACAACAAATGTCTTCAAGGAATAGTGTCGCAAAGAAAGTTAAACGTGACATGAAACCAAAGCGTACGGAAAGGCGATAGGCGAGAGTTCGGAAGCCGGAAAAGGATTGAGAAAAATATTTGCGGTGTGTAAGCTGCATAATATTAAAATTTGTAGCAATCCATTAGTTTGCTCATTTCTAAAGAACAAAAACATTTCTTGTACGTTCAATGAAAAAAAAAACCTGGAAGGTGCCACTGGTTGCAGCTGTTGATGGAGAGAGAACGAATGGTAGAGAAGTAAAGCCAGGGAAGTTAACCAGTCCAGTATAACCGATTTGCTACCCTACAAGTACGAACATGATGGGCAAGGTTTGAAGAGGGAGAAACTGTTGATGGAATTCTTTTAGGGCGTTACATACAATGTCTGCTGTTTTATTTTACAAAAAGGATGTGCCTAAACATCGCTTTTATCTTAAAACTTAGGGCACAGAAGTTGGCACATAGTCCCCAACATAACAGCCTGTGTGTGTCACGCACGTGGTTTCTTCGAAGCACTTAACAAGACATTTGATGTAAGCCAGAAATTAAGCGTGGTCACAGCATCCTCCGTGCGGTAGCTCGCAGAGCGGGGTTTCCCGCATAACGCTCAGATATCAAGTCAGCGCCGAAGCAGTTGATCTACAAAATAAAACGCCTGGTTACTCGCATTTATTTTCGCTTAATTTTTGACGCATCAAAACGTGCGTGTCTCTCGTCACCCAACCAGCCTATTTTTCCTGTTGAGATACATGACTGTAGAGTCTTGCGGAGAACATTATACACCAAGAAAATGTTATCGCAATCTACAAATCTAATCTGGGTCGGCATTTCCTGTGAACAAAGCAGCTCAACATTTTCTAGAATGGTTTATTTCAGCTTACTAACATAACGGCACAAGAACGCTGCCTGTAGCTAACTGAGCCTACATTTCGCCTTTTGAGTGTCATTTTACATGCCCCATTACCCCGCAATGTCCGAAACACACGGTCAGACCTGCCACTGCTATCTGTTCTCACTCGGACGTACTAAAACAAAAAACAAAAATGAACGCATTCTTTTCCTCCCGTGCATTTCATCCCCATAAAGCCACCGTGTCCACATGCGCGCGACCAACGAGTGGAGGCGTTGATCGCCTCCCTTCCCCGTCGTTTCCAGCCGCCCTACTTTCATCGACTGCGGGGAGGGGATATTGCGGGTTCGCGGCTGTGTGTATTGAGCCTGGCTCCGGTTGCCCCACAAGCACGTGCGTTGACACGGTGCTTATCGCGATTAGAACGTCACTCGCCGTCTCCCCGCCGAAGCCCCGCAGTCACTCGGCCTATTGAAAGCGCCCCTCGACTGATGTCGCTCGCTTTCGCCTGTGCAACGCCGTGTGTAAGCAGGTGTGCCCAGATACGAGCTTTTATGCCTGCTATGCAGACGCGGACCTTTTAAGGCCGCCTGCGCAATGATCTTGTCCAGCGCTGCCAAAGTGGCCGACCGTGAACGCTTACAAGCATTTGGCCATGTTTGTCATTTTTCTTCTGCTATTAACATTGAACTATTAACATTGAACTTTGAGTGAATTGAAACATGTGCTACAACCCACGCTAACTCGCTTTAGTTTTCTGAGTAATGCTACAACTGAAATTCTAATAGAAGGTATAGTTGAAGTAGTGCATAGCATGGTTGACGTCGGGCATGGCGTTATCAACGCCGGAAAATTATATCTTCGCGTATTCTTGCGGTGAACATGAAAAATTCGCATATACTTTATGACTGCGATCTAGCTTTCAATGTAGAAAAAAAAATGTCTTGAGACTGATTCTAGGTCAAACTAAAACACAATTAAACAGAGAATATAAGTACTCATCTAATTATTCCTAATTGATTATCCATACCACGTTGATTATATAGCTTTCAAGTGGCCAGCGACTTCAAATGCGATGCGTAACTTTGACATGTTTGTTTCACAACTTATCGTAATTTGAGGCTGATGGAGATATGTGGATGCTGCGTTTAATCCTACTGCGGGTGGGCATTTCACTTTGACTATTTCATCATTTGAAAACGAACGTAAAATACAATTTTCAGAGATCAGTAACGAGTTGTTGGGTGGACACAGTGTAGGCGAAGCACATATAGCTTGTGTAATGGCAGTCGCCTTGAGAGGCAGTATCAATATCCGGCCGTCTGCCTAACAAAAAACAACTGATTTATTTTTAGAAGTTCATAAAGCACTGCCGGGGAGCTGAGTATAACTAAAATTTGCTGTGCTCTGCTTGCATGGCTGTCACAGTGAACCGTGCAGTGCCATTAACCAGGCGGTAGTAATGAAGGCACGAATTCCATGGCAGCAAAGTTGGGCATAATATACAATCAAAATGAGCACGCCAGTCGTCCTACTTATTCAGTGGGCTGTTCATGCATATTCAGTTAAACATCGGGTGCACAGAGTCGATCGTCCGTATAATTAACCTCGATGCATTATATTAAAGTCTTAACTGAAGGGTATCAGTGCTACTGTGTTTTCCGCGTAAAGACTAGCTTTAAAAGACAAACGCGTGACGCCTCCCATGCCCCCCCCCCCCCTTTTTTTTTTTGCGCACGCTTTCCTAGTGAACTTTGTCGAGCAATGCTCTTTTGTAGAGTAGCACCGGAGTTGATTCTACTCCTGTTAACTTCCCGGTCTTTTCCGTTTCATCCGTTTTTCTCTTATTCTGTGAACTTGCTAAAGAGGTGTACTATTAAATGCATTGTTCCACTCACCCCAATCTGTCTGCACGCAGGCAGCGGACAGATCCAGCTGTGGCAGTTTCTGCTGGAGCTCCTCTCGGACAGCAGCAACGCCAACTGCATCACCTGGGAGGGACAGAACGGCGAGTTCAAGCTCATCGACCCGGACGAAGTGGCCCGGCGCTGGGGCGAGCGAAAGAGCAAGCCCAACATGAACTACGACAAGCTGAGCCGCGCGCTTCGCTACTACTACGACAAGAACATCATGACCAAAGTGCACGGCAAGCGGTACGCCTACAAGTTCGACTTCCACGGCCTGACGCAGGCCCAGCAGGCGCCCACCCCGGAGTCGTCGGCCGCATACCGGCTGCAGACCGAGTTGTTACTGCCCCACTACCGGAGTAACTACATCGGCGCCCACCAGCCAGCGCCAATGGGGCTGCCCCCTTCGGCCGCGGCCGCAGCTGCTGCTGTGCGTAGTCCTTACTGGACGCCCAGTGCCACAGGAGCCTGCAACCTGTACCCAAACCTGTCGGGACACTCTCTCACGCACGCTGGACACAGAGCCAACGGCCTGAGTCACTACTACACATGACTCTGGGGCGGAAACCATAGCGGCGACCACTTGGGTTTACCTCATCATTGAGACTGCACGTCGTGAACTGCGATTTTTTTTGTGTGTGTGAAATACTTGAAGCACGAACAGAATGGACACATTGAACGCCTCAGAATTCGCAAGAAACACTCACATCAGCCTGTGTTGTTATTTAGAACTGTGCCCGAGGAAGAGTTTTTGTGAGTGATGCGTCGGAACTCCGAACGTTGTTTGAGTTTGCGCTTTGCGACAAATCCGCGATAAGTGTCTCGACAAGTGTAAGTGGAACATTGTGTGAGAGAAAGCGGCGCTTGTTGCGCTGGCTCTCTGGCGGGGTTACTTTCTTCTACAAGCAGGAAAGGAAACCCAAGCTTGTGATCTGTCGCTAGGGCTGTTTTTCACTGAAGCGCACAGTGGACAAAGTACAAGTACCGGAATGGCTATGCCCGTGCAAGAGTTCCGGGAGCCTGCTGCTGGCATATGAAGGCCTTGATATAACTTTTGTTTTGTGATGCCATTAAAGAAAGATGCCACAATAAGGCTCAAGTTCTGAGCCAATCAACAAATTTCAGTTCAAATTTGTTCACTCGTTTAATATTTTGGGTCATTAAATATGACTTAACTTTGGTCATTCTGTCATAAGCGGGCAAAAAATTGTCTCCCCATGGAGGGAGCAGTGTGTCAACTTAGGCACAATTTGTAAGCACAATGCGTCAGATTAAACATGAAAGATGCAGTCATTGTTTTTTAAAGGTACCTCGCCATTTGTGTACAGTTCAGTATAACCAGACTTTTCTCTCTCTCTCCCTCTCTCTCTCTCTTTTTATGTTGTCATTTCTGTAAAATCTCGTCACTTGGAAACAAAGTTTGTTTTCTCCGCCACATTTCAAGTATTCCCCATTTTAGAATGGCAGAAAACATTTCAATACCTGGTATAGGTTGATCAGACAGATGCTTGGGCTAGTTGGTGATTGGGAATCAACATATTTGCACAGCGCTCTTTTCTCTCCTTGTCTCTTCTTCCGTAGTTACGCCGTAACTACTCGTAGTCTTGCGCTGTGCAAATATGCCGCTATAAGCATCTTCTTGCTGACAAAATTTTACTGAAGAAGCAAACCCTGAAGGTAGTTTTCTGAAATGCAGCTGGTGGATTATGGTTCTCCAAAAGGTATTATAGGGCTGACAGTGTGAACTCAGGACTATAAACTCATTGCAGAAGACGTCGACGCACAACACAGAGAACAGTGATTAACCAGCTACAATAGATGTATAGGTATGGCCCTATTCTTGAACATAACGCTGCTTGGAAGCAATCGCTTGGAGACTCGTTATCTTTCGTCGTAGTTAGGGCTGTCAATTGCCCTTGAGTGCTCGAGAATGCTTCCTCAGTTACTTCTTGGATGCACGCGCTTCTTCCTTTCTTCTTCAGACTCCATAGTCTACCTCCACCTCCTCGTACATTCTCGATATGTTGCATGCGATTCAATGAACTGCAGCACTGCCACGGCTCTTGCAGGTTATGCTGTTTTCCTGGAAACGAATATACCTCTGAGCACGTCGTCACACTAATACTTCAAGTTATCCGTGCATGTTATGTATCTGAATGCGTATATGATCCGCCAGCCTGAACTTTAGCGTTCATTTGCCCGAAAGACAAGACTTGTCACGTTTTAAATCGTTGATTTTATTTCATTTCAAGTTTAAGATTTTCTGTCAATTTGTCACGCCTCCAACGCACGAAGACCTCCACAAAAAAACACATTCGTTTCTGCAAGCATCGTGGCTCGTGTTATCTGGCCAAGTTATACTAACTTTGTTCGCTAACACTTTCTTCGGGAGAAAGCGCTGCTGTCGCATGAAAACGTATTTTTTTATTATTTTATATTGCGTATATAACAAACGACCTTAACATGAAACTTCTTTGTCGGTAGAAAAGTTCAAAACGTGATACGGATAGAATGTCCCACATTTTGTGAATTTCAACGTTTTTAGCCTCGCATCTTCTACTAATGCAATGACGCCCCAAAACGCGCAGTGTTCCATTTCTTCCAAATATTCCTGACAGCATGACAAAGAAAAAATTGGGAAAAAAACGCCATATTTTTAAGGGGTACGCAAATATTGCATACTGATTTAAGAAGCAGTGCGAATGGAGTCACTTCCCGATTATCACTTTTTTTTTCCCTGTTTGTTTACGGTCGCGCTTTGACAGAAGGGTTTAACGTAAGTTGTAATACTCACCTTAGTACAAGACAAGGCGCGGCATATGTTGTGTTCTCTTTAGGTCACTTGTCACACGATTGTTAATAAGCTGGCCATTTGCATTAGGTGAAAGTATTTAAGTGCTAAATGGATGCAACACAAATGCGTCTCTTTGAAGTTGTTTGTTTTGGGAACATATTTGTTTTTTTTTCTTTGGTTTTACTGAGGTATTATTAGCCTTTTGCGATTACTGTTTGTTGTTTATACTGCAGTGCTACTCAATGGCAGTATTATAAGGCGGCTGAAATTTTCTTTTATAATTGTTGAAGACGCTACAGCAAACTTGACTGTTCTCACAGCTTCCCGATTTACGGTTACTTGCTTCAGCTTTCTTCGTTATTATATGCATTTCTTTTTTTGTCGTTTATTTTTCATCAAGTCGTATTCTCTTTGTTTTAATTGGAAGCGAATTGATTCTGAAGCAGATGTTAGCCTCACGCATAGTTTAGATCCGTTTAAACCTTGTTTTTTTTTTTTTCTGTTCTCACGGCAACACTGTTGATTCACCACTTCTGTTAACACACTTCAAGGGAGCACATTGTTACGCTATACACAATAAATGTTTTGGCTGGTCCAAAGAGTAACCGAGTTTGAATATGCACTGGGAGCGATTGTACGACGTGTGTCATGCACGCGCGCAATGCAAGCATATATCATGGCCAGCTGAGCTTATCGCGAAAAAATCTATTTTACGTGATAACCACTGCCATTACGAGGCGTCCGACTGATTTTGCCTGCAATACTTTACAGCCTCTGCACACGAGCATTTTGTATGCTATATAGACATCAAGATACACGTCTTCATGTGCAACTGCAAGAGGTCATACACTAAAAAGGCGGTAACCGATAAATGTGATTTTGTGCGCCTATACAATGAGGCACAATAACAATCAGAACCAACAAACAATAATCCCAGGGAAAGTATACGGGACGTTATTAGAAGTGATCGTAATGTAAATGTGAAGAAAGAAATGTGAACGAAAAGACAACTTACCTCCCCCCCCCCCCCCCCCCGGCAAGATGAGAACCTGCGACCTTCAAATAATGCATCCGATGCTGTACCACTGAGCTACGGTGGCGGGCATCCATCCGTTCATTTTATATAGAATACATATGTGCGTTTCAAAGGTGGGAGCTTCAGTCAACGCCACCTGCTGACATTACGACGCGTGTAGAACCCTCTTTCTTGCCTGTTTGGTGTTACGTATAGTACGTGATCTTATTACGAGATAGCAGCCAGCCAATAATCCCTCGCATACCACCTCGAGGCATCAAGTCTGCCAGAACGAGGCCCTCGCTATGATTGAAGGAAAGTTTATATTTAAGTGTTCGTTTTCTTTGTTAGACACGGTATTATTGAGAACTAACAGACGATAAGACCAGGGAAAGCACACTGGACGTTACTAAAAGTAATTATAATGTAAATGTGAAGAAAGAAAAGTGAACAAAAAAATAACTCACCACCGGCAGAATCCGAACCTGCGATCTTCGAATAACGCGTTCGATGCTGTACAGCTGAGAGTTGATTTAGCTTTGAGTGCATGCATAATAAACTTCTAACGCGTACTGTAGGTATGCAAAATCGCATTTATCGCTTACCGCATTTAGAGTACCTCCGATTATCTACTTTGCCTGCCAATTGATGTGAGTAAAACAAGTGCCCTTACGTGGCGTACGAGAAAGTAATTTTCGAGGTCACAAAATGTTGAAGTCAAAAAAGAAGTTGCTTGCAGTCGTACTTACTTAAGTGGCCGCTTTATAAATTTGTGCCTGTCTTATTGCTGACGCAACACTATCATAGAAGGAGACTAAGACATGTTCTTCAAATCAGATGTCAAGATCGCAAGTGAAACCTTAATTATATTGACTTTTTATGCCTGCGTGTATGGACAGTAAGTCTGGCTGAAATGCTTAATTAGTGGACGTTTTTCCGTCATCGAAACTTCTGTAATGCCTTCACAGAAAAGGTAAGAGCTGAATATTCCAAATAAACACACGGACCACGCATTCAATACTATTTCTTGTTTGTTTGTTTGTTTATTTGTTTGTTTGTTTCAATGAAAATTTACACGCTCATTCTTCGCACACATTACTGTTCAGCTAGAATATGTCGTGTAGAAAAGTTCAAAACAAGGTCTCTATTTTTGCTCGGCAAATTATAAATTCCTCGCTTCATTATTTATTCTCACTCAGTATATTTGCATCCGTTGTCTGTTCACGGTGTTCAAAGGATAGAGTTATATTGGCAGTGCCCAATTCAAACCATATTCAAACAGTAGCGTCCGAAATTCGTTTAACAGACTGGGCAGAAGATTTCCAAGGAGCAACTTACGCGTCGTTCGAAACATCGAATCGAGTAAGGCGAACCTCAGTATATAGTACCCGTGTACTATCTTACTGAAGCGTCTTAAAGGTTCCTTACCGTGAAACAATGAATTTGTTTAGATCGACAAAGTATTCTGCGACAACTCTAATGCCGCTAATCTTACCATCCGAAGATTATTATAAAGAATAAATCAAGGTCAAAGTACTGTTTTTAAACTTGCCTTAAACAAAATGCTCTAGATTATAAGCGCAAGAATCGAATTAGAGTGAGAACTTTATATTGGATAGATGTTATACGTTAGTTTTGTTTTTCAAAAAATAAACTGTACAACAAAAGGGCCACGCAAGTAAAGCCCACCAGGTATTGCGGCGAAACATTGAACGGTTATACACAGTGCATCGCAGTGAACTTTTGCAAAGTAAAACGCACATTTTTTTAAAATCAGTTATGTTGATATTGCTTTACGTCTACTGCTGTATTGAACAGAGAAGAGCACGCAACTTGCGAACATTTCTAAGACCATCAAAAAAACTATTTCCAACTACTATTAACGTATAATATATCAGATACGGAGAGATAAAAACATTTAATGATATTGCCGCATATGTTAGCCTGCTCTATCACCTGGCTTGGGAGATGACAGTGATACTGTATATATATATATATATATATATATATATATATATATATATATATATATATATATATATATATATATATATATATATATATATATATATATATATATGCCCCACCGCGGTGGTCTAGTGGCTAAGGTACTCGGCTGCTGACCCGCAGGGCGCGGGTTCGAATCCCGGCTGTGGCGGCTGCATTTCCGATGGAGGCGGAAATGTTGTAGGCCCGTGTGCTCAGATTTGGGTGCACGTTAAAGAACCCCAGGTGGTCTAAATTTCCGGAGCCCTCCACTACGGCGTCTCTCATAATCATATAGTGGTTTTGGGACGTTAAACCCC